AAAGCGGCTCTCTTGAAAACCAGTCTCTTGTGTTTCCCTGTTGAGCTGGCCATGTCTCCCCCAGATTTCTCCATCTTGAGGCCCCCATGTCATTGCAGTTGCTTCTCATGTATAGTCTCATCATGGTCATATAATAGCTAACAATTCCACAGTGCTTACACATGCCAGACACTGCCCTAAGAACTTCACGTGTATTAAGACATTTAGTCTTTACAGCACTCTGTTTTACAGATAATGAAAGTGAGGCAGAGGGAACTGAAGTGACCTGCTGAAGTCCACATAGCTAGGTGGTGGTGGAGCCAGATTCAGGGTGTATCCTCTTAACACTTGTGTTGTCCCAACTTTCTTGTTCACTTGTTCCTCTGCTGACTCCTTTCCTGGAAGAGATAACTCTGTGGCTCTGGGTTGTAGGACATGGGCTCTGCCCCTTAAGGCAGGGGCCAGTGCTTTACACAGAGTAGACTCTCCAAAAATGTGTGATATGAGATTATAAGGAGAGAGAGGAAAAAATAGAGAAGAGGAAGTGTTTCCTGGCTTTTGAGATGAAGAAGAGAAGAAAGGATTAGGAAAAGATCACATGAACATGTTAACCCATGGTCTCTGTTCACAGAGACCCCTTAGCCTGCCTACCTGTGGGCTTGACAGGGGAGATTCAGGGTCCTGATCAGGCCTGGGGTCCTGCCAGCGGGTTATGATCAGGCTCTGAATCTGAGGAAGGAGGCAGGTTTCAGTGAGATCTAACTTTAGAAGTGCGTTGATTCTTCTCTCTACCTACCGTGAGAACTGTTGATAGGAGGGAGACCCAGCGGGAGTATCCTCCCCTCTCAAGCCAGACCTCTGTGGGCATCAGTGCTGCAGCCCTCCCAGGAGAGAACAGTCCTGATGGCCTCACTGAGCTCTGTGCCCAGGAGACTAGGGAGCCTGGCTGTAGAGATGTAGCCTCTACAGCTGGAAGGGAAGTAGGACCGTGGAGTCGTAGGGGTGGTGGTGTGTTCATGCACACGTGCATGTGTATTATGTACATGTGTGCGCTGGTACGCTCTATGTGCCCTCTGTACATGCCTGTGCTCCTGTGCAGGTCAGCATGTCGCTGGAAGGAGAGGTGATGGCCTCTGACATCTCTGAGTTTTTTCATCTGCATGGATGACTGCCTAGGTGCAGGTGTCACGTTATGGGGAAGAGATTAAGGTACAAGCTCTGGAACCAGACTTGTGCTTAGTCGCTCAGTCGTGTCCGACTCTTTGCAACCCTGTGGACTGTTAGCCCTCCAGGCTCCTCTGTCCACGGGATTCTCCAGGCAAGAATGCTGGAGTGGGTTGCCATGCCCTCCTCCAGGGGATCTTCCCAACCCAGGGATCAAACCTGGGTCTGCCACACCGCAGGCAGATTCTTTACCATCTGAGCTACCAGGGAAGCTGGAACCAGACTTAATAGATTCAAACACCGGCTCTGCCTCTAACAAGTTATGTGAACTCTGTAAGAGTTAATCTTTTTTGAGTCTAATTTTGATTTTGTTTGCCTTTCTTAAACATTTTATTGCTTCATTATTTTAAGCCATACTATTGTTTTTGAATTCCAGTTCCATCAGTTATTATATGGGCACATTGGAGCATGTTATTTAACTTCTCTAATCCACCCTATCCTCAAGTATAAGTGGCACAGCAAACACAATTTTTAGATAGATTTTTTTTTTCAATTTTCCCCTTAAAACTGACTTTATAGGTTAGGTTATAAGTTCACAAAAAAATTCATCAGAAAGAACGGAGAGTCCCCTGTATCCCCTGCCCTTATATACATAGAGCACCCCCCACTCCGTTATTACCCTTCCTTACCATAGGGTATATTTGGTATCACTGATTAACTTACATTGACACATCTTACCCAAAGCCCATAGTTTTACATCAGGCTTCGCTCTAGGTGGTGTACCTTCTATGGGTTTTAACAAAAATATAGTGACATGTAGCCTTCATTATAGTATCATAGAGAATAATTTCACTGCCTAAAATTCCTGTGCTCCATCTATTCATTCTTTCCTTCCTCAACCCCTGGCACCTACTGATCCTTTTTACTGTCTCTGTAGTTTTGCCTTTTCTGGAATACACTGTTGGAATCATATAGAATGTAGCCTTCTCACATTGGCTTCTTTCAGTTAGGATCTGCACTGAAGGTTCTTCCATGTGTTTTCATGGGTGGGTAGCTCATTTCTTCTTGTAAAAAGTGAAAGTGTGACGTATTAGTTGCTCAGTAGTGTCTGACTTTTTGGGACCCTGTGGACTGTAGCCTGCCAAGCTCCTCTGTTCATGGAATTCACCAGGAAAGAATGCTGGAGTGGGTAGCCATTCCCTTTTCAGGGCATCTTCCTGACTCAGGGATCGAACCCTGGTCTCCTGCATTGAAGTCAGATTCTCTACCGTCTGAGCCACCGCAGCTGAATACTATTCCATTGTCTATATTTATCATGGTTTATTTCACCTACCAATATGTATCTTTTTAAAGTAGCTAGAGACGACTTATTGTACACAGGAAGTGCAAAAATTTATTTTGCTGCCTGATGTGAACTGAAAAAAATGCACCACCTGAAAGTTGAGAATTATATTTTATTCAGCAAACAAAACTGAAGACTTAAGCCCAGGCCTCAGCCTCTCAGATAATTCAGAGAGACTGCTCCAAAACTGCAACTGAGAGGTCAGGATATATAGGAGCTTTTGTAACACAGATCAGGCTTTCAGAATATAAAGAGATTACTGTTAATTACAGAAAATCAGGCATCTTGAGTTAATGGATTTACCATTTTCTATGTATTGTTCTTGGTTGCTCAGTCATGTCCTACTGTTTGCAACCACATGGACTCTGTCCATGAGATTCTCCAGGCAAGAATACTGGAGAGGATTACCATTTCCTCCTCCAGGGGATCTTCTTGACCCAGGGATTGAACCTGTGTCCCTTGAGGCTCTTTCATTGGCAGGAGAATTCTTTACCACTGAGCCACCTGGGAATCCCATTTTCTGTGTATGGGAAAATGCAAAAATCTGGGCTCTTGGAAATCATTCCTTTGCTATGAACCTCACCTATCTGGGTCCAGTATCCTGTGCTTTCTCATCTGAGTCTGCTCAGGGTTCATCCTTAGGGGGTGACTGCAGTGGCTGTCTGCTGATGGTAGCCTCTATTTTCCCATCCTAGCCTCCCTATTCTCAAGTTTAAAAAGCCCCAATAAGAGCTTTTCTCTGTCTCTTAAAGAAATTCCAATGTTTATTGCTTTTACTAGCTTGGATGATTTCCACTATTTGTTTTATTAAAGTTTAGCTGATTTATTACATTAGTTTTAGGTGTACAACATAGTGATTCAGTATTTTTATAGATTATGCTCAGTTTAAAGTTATTACAAAATAATGGCTATAGTTTCCTCTGCTGTACAGTATATCCTTGTTGCTTATTTATTTTATACATTGTAGTTTGTATCTTTTAATCCTCTTCCCCTATCTTGCCCCCTACCGCTTGCCTTACTCCACTGGTAACCACTAGTTTGTTCTCTGTGAGTCTGTTTCTCTTTTGTTATATTCATTCATTTGTTTTATTTTTTAGATTCCACATAAAAGTGATAACTTAAAGTAGTTGTCTTTGCCTGGCTTATTTCACTGAGCATAATACCCTGCAGGTCCATCCACACTGTGGCAAATGGCAGAATTTCTTTTTTTTTTTTATGGCCAAGTAGTATTTCATTGTATATATACCATATCTTCTTTATTCATTCATTGGTTTAAGGATACTTGGTTGCTTCCATATCATGGCTACTGTAAATAGTGCTCTTGTGAACATGAAGATGGATGTTTCTTTTTGAATTAGTGTTTTTATTTTTCTGATATAGTTCCAGGAGTAGAATAGTAGTTCTATTTTTAGATTTTTGAGTAGGCGCCATACTATTTTCTACAGCAGCTGCACCGATTTACATTCCCACCAACAGTGTACTAGGGATCCTTTTTTTACATCCTTGCCAACATTTGTTATTTGTAGACATTTTGATAATTGACATTCTGACAGGCATGAGGTGATATCTCATTGTGCTTTTCATCAGTGTTCTCTGATGATTAGCGCTGTTGAACATCTTTTCAGGTGCATGTTGGCCATCTGTGTATCTTGTTTGGAAACACATATATTCAGGTTTCATGCCCATTTTTATGGTATTATTTGTTTTTTGATGTTGAATTGTATGAGCTATTTATATATTTTGGATGTTAATCAAATATTTTCACCCACTTAGTAAGTTGTCTTTTCATTTTGTAGATGGTTTCTTGGGCTGTGCAAAAGTTTTTGAGTTTACTTAGGTCTCATTTAAAAATTTTGCTTTTGTTTCTTTTGCTTTAAAAGGAGACAAATCTCAAAAAATATTGCCACAATTTATGTCAAATAGTGGTCTGCCTATGTTTTCCTCTAGAAGTTTTATTGTTTCAGGCCTTACATTTAGGTCTTTAACTCAAATCTGTTTTTTTCTATGGTTTAATAAAATTGATTTTCAATGTTTGAAATATTCTGCCTAATTCCTGTCCTATTGAATCTTCAATTCTCAAAAGCGAAACACTTGCAAAGAACAGTCTTACATCATCCCTCCAAGAAGCCTTTGCTAATTTTCTATCAAATCTATGCTATTTCTTATTTAAAAGTAGCAAAATTTTATAGTTTCTGGAACACTAGCCAGTGTGAAGCATATAGAAGAGTTATTTGGGGATAGTTTTATCCAATATATGAATGGTAGAAAATGTTTTCCTACATCTAGATTCCTAGCAGTATTTGGCTTGGGATTGAACATATGTTTGTGCAAAGTGATTGATAGAAACCAAGTGATCTGGCTTCCATGTCAATGCTCTTACTGTGATTCAAGACCAGCTCTCATCACCTCTTTGAGTACCATGGGAAAAATGGTATGCAGGAAGAATAACCTGATCATCTTTTAGTTCATCTCTTAGGTCATCTCCCAGTTATGACATTCTCTCTTGTTATTCTTTCTATGACTGAATTCTGCCTCTTAATTTCCTCAAACCCCTCTTCATATCTTTGTTCCTCAAGCTGTAGATGAAAGGGTTCAACATGGGTGTCACTATGGTGTACATAACTGTGGCTACCCGGTCCTTCACCGCTGAGTACATGGACAGTGGCCTAAAGTAGACATAGATGATGCTTCCATAGAAGAAAACCACCACAGTGAGGTGGGAGCCACAGGTGGAGAAGGCCTTCCACTTCCCAGTGGCAGAGGGGATTTTGAGCACAGTGACGATGATTCTCAGGTAGGAGAAGAGAATGCACAGGAAAGGGGTGGCAATGACCGCCAGGGTCTCGGTCATGACCACAGTCTGGTTGGTAGTTGTGTCAGAGCAGGAGAGCTTGAGCACAGGCTGGGTATCACAAAAGAAGTGCTTGATGACGTGGGAGGCACAGAAAGACAGGCGGGACATGAGTAGCACATACATCATAGAGTGCAGGTGAGAGATGGCGCACGAACCCAGCAACAGGAGGAGGCAACGCCGTGGGCTCATGACCACATCATATTGGAAGGGGTTGCAGATGGCTACCAGCCGATCTATGGCCATCGAGGCCAGCAGGTAGCTGTCAGTGTTCCCCAAGGCCATGAAGAAGTACATCTGGACCAGGCACCCCACATAGGAGATAAACTTTGTCTCTGAGAGTAAGTTCAGCAGCATGTTGGGCACAATGACTGTTGTGAAGCAGATATCCATGAAGGACAGGTTGCTGAGGAAAAAGTACATAGGGGTGTGGAGCCGGGAGTCAGAGTGGATGGCCAGGATGATGAGTCCATTCCCCACCAGGGTGACCAGGTACATAACAAGGAATAGAGTGAAGAGGGGTTTCTGCATCTGGGGGTTGGAAGAGATGCCCAGGAGGATAAAGCCTGAGATGCTGCTGCTATAGTTCTTCATGTCCTTGACCTCTGGTCAGGGTTTGGAGGTGCCGTGGGAGAGATGTGAAGGGCAATTTGACCAAAATGCCTCCTTCCCTAATCTCCAGCCTGTAAGAAAAAGAAACCCACTGCCATTATTAGGATTTTAAAGAATATCTACTTCAAGAAACTACAGAGATCAGGAGATAAAATCCAAGAATGGGAAAGGTAAACAAGTCCAAGCCACTCCCTACAGGAGAAACTAAATTTTTCCCCTGTGTTCCTAGGAACTTATAATTTGTCTGAGCTCTTCTCAATTCTCTGTGGGAAGATATCTCTTAAGTTCTTTCTTGATCAAATTTGTAAATTCCCCTTCTGCCTGCTTTTTTATTATTTTGAAAGGGAAGAGGCTGTTGGGTTCCCTCATGGGTCAAGATGCTTCCATACAAGGGGTCCCTAGGAATGAGGTTCTCTCATCAGGATCCTCTCCTACTCACTGTCCAGAGGTGGTGGTGGTGGTGGTGGGACAAAAGTGAGCACTGGATTTCATCAGTGCTCCTCAGTAGCCACAAAGTTCAGTTGAGACTCCCTTAAGTCTTCAGAGTAGTATGTTCTTAAAGATTTATTTAAGCAACTCCATTTGGTCACATGTTCTAGATGCTCAGATTCTAGGTTTTTGGTTCAGGAATGCCCCTCCAAATAGTCACACTATCAGAAATGTTACTAAGATTTATTCTCTTGATATATTGATTTTTCTGATTAAGAAACTATGAAGATCTTGGGCTTCCCTGGTGGTGCAGTGGTTAAGAATCCACCTGCCAATGCAGGAGACCGAGGTTTGATCCCTGATCTGGGAAGATGCCACCTGCCAGGGAGCAAATAAGCCCATGTGCCACAAACACTGAGCCTGTTCTTTAGAGCCTGGAAATCGCAACTGCTGAAGCCCACACACTTTAGAGCCCATGCTCTGCAACAAGAGAAGGCACTACAGTGAGAAGCCCTCATGCCATAGCCTTCCTAGCCGCAACTAGAGGAAAGCCCAGGCAGCAACGGGACCCTGCACAGACAAAAATAAATAAAATGAAAAAGAAAGTAGGAAGTTTTTGTTCTAAGTATTCAAATATTACAGGAAATTAAAACCCTGTGTGTAAGGACTCCATCTCACCAATGGCACTGGAAAGACAAGGCAAGGATGATCTCTGTTACCACTGTTAAGTCACACTGTTCAGTTGACAGTTTTAACTCAGTGAAAAAGCAAAGTGAAAGAAACAAAAAATGTGAACATTAGAAAAGGTGACACTGTTATTATTAAGTGACTTAATTGAATCCTGTGAAAATTGCAGCAAAGTGATAAAATATAAGATAAATATACAAATACCAGTCTATCCTAAAGGAAATCACTCCTGAATACTCATTGGATAGATTGATGCTGAAGCTGAAGCTCCAATAACTTGGGACACTTGATGTGAAGACCTGACTCATTGGAAAAGACCCTGATGTGGGAAAGATTGAAAGCAGGAGGACAAGGGGACAACAGAGGATGAGATGGTTGGATGGCATCACCTACTTGATGGATACGAGTTTGAGAAAGTTCCAGGAGTTAGTGATAGACAGGGAAGCCTGGTATGTTGCAGTCCATGAGGTTGCAAAGAGTCGGACATGACTGAGCGACTGAACTGGAACTGACATACAAATATTGACATTCTTCCTATAGAAAAAATATGTAATGGATCAACACTTTACAACTGACAATGGTAAGAAAGTCTGAAACACACTTAGGATATACCTGAGGAAGGAAAAAGGAAATGGTAAAGGGCTATATGAAGAAACTATAACAGACCACAAATGAGCAATCTGAATAAATAGAAAAAATTTTAGAAATATTTCTAAAAATGGAAGAGTCAATATTTGAAAATGTCAATTCCTAGAGTCCACCTATAAGGTTTATCATATGATATTTGTATTTCTCTGCCTCTTTCATCTAGCAAAATGCCCTCAAGTTCCATTCAGGTTGTAAATGGCAGTTTCCTTCTTTCTAATGGTTGAATCTAAAAAGGACTAACTTATGGAAGCAAAGAGTCACGGTGGTTTCCAGATACTGGGAGGTGAGGGAAATGAGATGTTGATCAAAAGATACAAATTTCCATTATAAGATGAATAAGTTCAAGGACCTAAAGTACAACTGGTGACTAATATTAACAATATAGTATTATATACTTGAAAGGTGCTTAGAGGGAGTGCATTCATTTATTTCATTGAGATATAAGTGACACAGAATTAAGTGAGTTTAAGATGTTCAGTATGTTGATTTGATGCATTTAGATATTACAATATGAATAACAAGGTATCATTAGCTAACACATAAATCACATTATATTATTTCTTTTTTGGTGGCAACAATTAAGGTCTAGTCTAATAACATCTGTGAATGTTTATAATATATTATTGCTGTGTATAATCACTATGCTGTGCATAGATCTCCAAAATTTACTTATCTATTGGTGGCAACTTTATACTCTTAAATATCTTTCTAATTCCTCTATCCCATAGCCACTGGTAACAGCCATTCTACTTAAGGGAGTAGATCTTAGCTATTCTGACCACAAAAAATAAAAGTGGTAATTTATATGAGATGATGGATATGTGATTATCCTTGTGTTAGTCCTTTTGCAACATCTAAGTTTACCAAATCATCTTTTGCACTTTAAACTTATACCATATGTACATTATGTGTCAGTAAAGCTGAAAAAGAGTCAACTGTTCTCACATCAGTAGAATTAAGGGCTTCCCTGGTAGCTCAGCTGGTAAAGAATCTGCCTGCAATGCAGGAGACCCTGGTTTGATTCCTGGTTTGGGAAGATCTGCTGGAGAAGGGAAAGGCTACCCACTCCAGTATTCTGGCTTGGAGAATTCCATGGACTATGCAGTCCATGGGTTCACAAAGGGACTGAGCCACTTTCACTTTCACCATTAATAACACCCCAGGGAATTTTTTAAAAGGGAGTTGAGAAATCCATTCTAAAATTAATCTAGAGCGAAGTAAGCCAGAAAGATAAAGACCATTACAGTATACTAACACATATATATGGAATTTAGAAAGATGGTAACGATGACCCTATATGCAAAACAGAAAAAGAGACTCAGATGTATAGAACAGACTGTGGACTCTGGGAGAAGGCGAGGGTGGGATGTTTCAAGAGAACAGCAGCGAAACATGTATATTATCTAGGGTGAAACAGATCACCAGCCCAGGTTGGGTGCATGAGACAAGTGCTCGGGCCTGGTGCACTGGAAAGACCCAGAGGGATTGGGTGGAGAGGGAGGTGGGAGGGGGGACCGGGATGGGGAATAGATGTAAATCCATGGCTAATTCATTTCAATGTATGACAAAAACCACTGCAATGATGTAAAGTAATTAGCCTCCAACTAATAAAAATAAATGGAAAAAAAAAGAAAATAAAAAAAATAAATAAAAAATAAAAAATAAATAAAAAATAAAATTAATCTAGAGAAGTAAATGGTCGAGGAAAGAAAAAAGTGAAAAAAATGGAATAATTACTTTTCTAACAAAAAATATAACACAATATAATGAAAAACAATAAGGTAATGGAACACACAGAAAAACAAATCAATGGTTCAACATGAAGAATTTCGTATACCTGTATTTATACACGTATATACCGCTAGATCTATATGGAACTTAATATATAGTAAAGATTTATTTCATACCAATGGAGAAAGGATGGACTCTTTAAAAAGTGATATTTATGACAACTGGCTCAACAATTTGAAAAAATAAGGCTAGATTTCTGTCTAATCCATCATAGAAGTAAAGGCCAAATGAATGAGCAATTTGAAAGTAAAGAATCTAAACAATAAAATAATTAGGTAAAAATAAAGAAGCATATTTTTATGGTCTCATAATGAAGATGCCATCACAAGGAAGAAATAAAATATAGAGTCATGAATTAAAAAATACCATACTCAGAAATGTGAACATTATTCTGAGAGAGACCATATGGCAAGCTAAAATATAAATGAGTGACTCAGAGAAAATATCTGCAACACATTTACCAAAGAAAACATGAGATGTTCAACCTCCTTGGTAATCAGAAAATAGAAATTAGACTGAATTGCTATTTATACCCGTGAAATTGTGTAGAGGTTCAGAACAGGCTTCCTTGGGATGTGTCATTTTGGCCTATAGATTAGTTTGATTTCAAGGCAACCGAGACTCACCGGGCTCAAGAAAAACTGCTATTTCTCCCTTTACTACCTAGAATTGCAATGGAAAAATAATTATTCGTTCAGTTCAGTCGCTCAGTCATGTCCGACTCTTTGAGACCCCATGAACTGCAACACGCCAGGCCTCCCAGTCCATCACCAACTCCTGGAGTCCACCCAAACCCATGTCCATTGAGTCGGTGATGCCATCCAACCATCTCATCCTCTGTCGTCCCCTTCTCCTCCTGCCCTTGATCTTTTCCCAGCATCAGGGTCTTTTCAAATGAGTCAGCTCTTTGCATCAGGTGGCCAAAGTAAAAATAATTATTACCAGAGAGAAATTTTATCTAAGTGGCCCCATCTGTATGGCAGGACAAACATTCCACCACCCAGCATCTGTTCTTATCGTTTGTGGATAAATCTTCTGTTCTTGAGATCCCCAGGCTCCTAGCTTAACTCTTAGCTTGAGATGGCACATAGATTTCATTGGACCTTTCTGTCTTTTAACCTCCCATGTCTGTGAGGTCTCTGGCCCTGTCATGTATGTGGAGTTCCCAAAGAAAATTAAATTTGATTTTCTCCCATTAATTTGTCTTGTGTCATTTTGATTATTAGACTAGTGGAAAGAAACTTTGAAGAGGATAGACAATATCCCCATTATTATAAATGGATATTTTTTAGCAATATAGAAAAGGAAGAAGACCTATCCTTGAAAAGTAGTCAAGGATATTATACAAACCTGCCTATGAAAAATAGTCATCTAAGTGTAGCACAAAGATATGTGCATACATTTTGATTTTAGTATTGCTTACAATACTGAAGAAACTGAAAAGTGAAAGTCACTCAGCTATGCCTGACTCTTTATGACTCCATGGACTATACAGTCCACAGAATTCTCCAGGCCAGAATACTGGTGTCGGTAGCCTTTCCCATCTCCAGGGGATCTTCCCAGCCCAGGGATTGAACCCAGGTCTCCTGCATTGCAGGTGGATTCTTTACCACCTGAGGTATCAGGGAAAATTTGGTATTATAAACAACACTTGGATTTTAGTATTGCTTACAATACCAAATACAACAATGCAAATAAAACATCTAGAGGAAACAACCTACACACAGTCTTTAAAGAAATTCAATAGCTAATGTTAGTCAACATTTAGTAGCACTCAATATATATACTCCACACAGAAGTGAGAAGTACTTAGTATATTTTTATCATTTTATTGTCTCCAAATCATAAGATATAGGCCCTATTATATTCCTGTTGTACAGGATAAAAAATTTAGCAAAGTTTAGCAAAGTTTACCAACTTACCAGATCCCTAGTTAGTAAGTGGTTGAGCTGAGATTTGAATTAAGACAGTTTGATCACAAGTAGAAGCTATTTTATTCATTGCTAAACTGTGTTTTCACTGTTACATTACTGCCTATGATATTTTAAGTGATAAAAGCAATTTGCAGAATAGTGCATACAGAGTAATCCTGTTTTTGTAAAGAGATATACTTCCTTTATATGTTTTCTTTGTTGTGGTGTCTGTGTTTACCTAGCGTAGTTGCCTCCTGAAGTGAGAATGACGGGATGGAGCGTGGAGTTCCTTCCATATTTCACTTTATGTGTTTGCACTTAAAAATAAGGGACATATGTCTCTTTAGTTAATTTTATAATTAAAAAGTGGAAGTCCCCTAAAATTCGACCTCCCAGAGAACTAGGGATGTGTGCATATTTTTAAGTTGCTTTCTCTGCCTGGATCTACACACACATATTATATCCAGAAATAGGGTCATATTATTGAGAATACTTTTCCTTCTCCATAGACAGTGTTGCAGTGGATATTTTTGTATATAAATATTTTGCTCTCATGAGAGAGTTTGTAAGGTACAGAATAAATTCTAAAAGATGGAAAGCTGAGTTGGAGCTTGTGAACACAGAAAATTTTGGTACTCCCAATCTGAGACAATTAGTCTTCAACCTACTCCTGGGCAAAGTTTTCATTTGACTCTGGACTCTTTCCTGGTTTCCTTCACTCTCTCTCTCCCTTTTTTTTAGCCTCTGTTCTCCTTGGTGGTCAAGGACTATCTGACTTGCCTTGGTCCTGAACCCAGATTCCTCAGATCTACGTGACATTTCTCAGGACAGTAGCGAGTCCCCTTCCCATTTAGCTGAAACTGGTAAGATTGCCTATTTTCTCACACCTTGGGCAGGTCCTTTCACTTCAGTGTACCCAATCAAAAAGATTGGGGGGGCATGGGTCAACTTTCTGCCAACTGCTCTTGTCATGTAGAGACTCAAGTGACATTTGACATTTGTATATTACCGTGTGCCATCATCACATCAAATTGTTTCATTAAATACGTGCAGATTTGTTTATCAATTAGGCTTCATTAAAGCTAAAAAAAAAAAAAAAAAAGAGGCAAGCAGCATTGCCGAGCCTTGAAGATTTGCAGACGTAATCCACACTCTTAAGAGATTTCTGCCTATTTGGCCCTGAAAACTTTTTGGGGTTAGCCTTAAAATGAACTCAGTGATTTTGACTGCAGTTGGGTGAGCAGTCTCATGGGTAAAAGTCAATTCCATGTACATGCAATAACTGTTTATTGCCCCCAGAGCACACTTAAAGGAGAGAAGCTTCTGTTATCTGATGCCAGATCATTACATGGGTTACCTATCCTGAGACTCTTGATGGGAAAATGCAGTATCAAAGAATGAGATATTAGAATTCAGACATGGACTGCCTGTGCCCTCTTCCAGATATTTAGCCTCACTTTCTCATGCTGTTGGTTTAGCATGACCCACAGAAGGTGGAGCTAGGATGCTGCCTTACAAGGCTTTGTGATAATTAAGAAGTGTGGGTTTTTGATTCACAGCCAATTTAAGAGTGAAAATTGAAGCACTTTTCATTTCTTTTCAAAAGCACAATTATAGCAATTTGATTAGATTATCTTCACTTTTAAGTTTATGATTAATTACATAAATTATCTATCTTCCAATTACTTAAATAATATATAAGACATTTTTTATGTGGTATAGGACTTTGTAAATGAAAGTAATTATGATTAGCAATAAAACATTTTGTGTTACTTGCAAAATTAAAGATATATTTTGGTAAAAGTTTGGTAATTCTTTCTATAGGTGTTTAATTTTACTGTTGCTACAATAACCTACAAAAATGATATTTTTAATGATGGGGCTTTCATCCGGTAGTAACTGAGAAGGACCAGGAAGTGCTGGGAACGTTTCCAAGCCTTTTAAATCACACTATTCCTCCTTAAAAGGTATTTACTCCCCTTCTTTCTGCCTAGTTTTCATTCCCACAGAAGATTAAAAGTTTACCTAGTCCTTCCTGGCTGTTCAATTCTTGATGCCAAGGCAAGTGAACTTCTCAAATATTCCCGCTGGAATCCTTTTTATGTACAATTGTCTTCCCTTTCACTCAACATACTGATCCATCAGAGGTGCTTCAAGTGGTACTTCTGAAAACAGATCTCTTGTGTTCCTCCAGTGAGCTGGCCATGCCTCACCTGGATGTCTCCACTTTAATATCCCCATTGCAGCCCTTCTCACATACATTCTCTATCATGGTCATATAATAGCTAACAATTCCATCATGTTTTAAAAATATGCCAGACACTGCTCTAAGAACTTCATATATATTAAGAAATTAAGTCTTTATAACACCTCATTTTACAGATAATAAAGTGAGGCAGAGGGACCTGTTGAAAGTCACACACCTAGATGATAGCAGAAGCCAAATTCAGAGTGTGTGCTCTTAACCTCTGCATTATCCTAAGATTTTTGTTCACTTATTCCCCCCGACATCATTTTGAGCCCTTTAAGGCAGGGGCCAGTGCTTCACGCAGAGTAGATTCTTCACCAATGTGTGATACATGATGAAAAGCAGAGAGATGAAAAGTAGAGCTGAGGCGTTGGTTTCTGGCTTTTGAAATAAAGGAGAGAAGAGAGGATTAGGAAAAGGTCACATGAAGATGTTAACCCTCAGGCTGTGTTCCCAGAGACCTCTTAGCTTGCCTACCTGTCGACTCAACAGAGGAAATTTAGGGTCCTGATCAGGCCTGGGGTCCTGCGAGGGGGTTATGATCAGGCTTTGAATCTCTGAGGAAGGAGACAGGTTGCAGTGAGATCTAACTTCAGAAGTGTGCTGGTTCTTCTCTCTACCTACAATGAGAACTGTTGATAGAAAGGAACCCAGGGGCATTCCCCTCCACCAACCTCTGCAGACCAGAGCCCTGGGGATCATTTCTGCAGCCTTCCCAGGGGAGAACCATCCTGATGCCCTCACTGAGCTCTGTGCCCAGGAGACTGGGGAATCTGGGCTCCAGAGGTGTAGCCTCTACACCCAGGAAGGGAAGTAAGGCCATGCAGCTGTAGGGGTGGAGGTGTGTTCATGCACATGTATGTGTGTTATGTTTACATGTGTGTGCTGGTACACTCTATGTGCTTTCTGTACATACCTGTGCTCGGGTACATATCAGCATGTTGGGTGGAAGGAGAAGTGATGGCCTCTGACATCTCTGAAGTTCTATGTCTGCAGGGATGACAGTATCTAGGTGTAGGTTAGTGTTACAGGAAAGAGATTAAGGTTACAAGCTCTGGAGTCAGACTGACTGGATTTGAATACTGGTTCTGTCTCTTATAAGATGTGGGAACTTTTGTAGGAGTTAATCTTTTTTTTTTTCCTGACTGTATTATGTGGCATGAGGGATCTTAGTTTACCCGACCAGGTATTGAATTCACACCACCTGAGTGGAAGTGCAGAGTCTTAACCACTGGACCGCCAGAGTTAACCTTTTTGAAACTCATTTTTGATTGATTTTTGTTTGTCTTTCTTAAACACTTCATTACTTCAAGATCTTAAGCTAGACTACTTATTTTTGTATTTCACTCCAGCAATCTCTATTTGGGTGAACTGGGAAAAATTATTTAACTTCTTTAATCCACATTCTCCTCAAGTATAAGTGATATAGCAAACACAACTTTTAGATATGCATTTTGTTTACTTTTATTTCAATTTTTTCCTTTAAATAAACTTTATCTTTCAGAGTGTTTATAGAATAATGGAGAAGTTGATCAGAAAGTACAGAGTGTCCCCATTACACCTGTCCGTAGGTATAGTTTTTGTTGTTTAGTCGCTCTGCTATGTCCGACTCTTTTGCGACTGTAGCCTTTCAGGCTCCTCTATCCATTGGATTTCCCAGGCAAGAATACTGGAGTAGGTTGCCATTTCCTTCTCCTTATATACACAAAGCTTCCCCCACAATTACCCTTCCCCACCAGAGTACATTTGGTATAACTGATTAACCTATATAGACATATCATCACCCAAAGTCCATAGTTTACATCATGCTTCTTTCTTGATGTTGTACCTTCTATGAGTTTTAACAAAAATATGATGGCATGTATCTGTTATCATAGTATCATCCAGAATAGTTTTATTGCCTTAAAATTCCTGTGTTCCATCTAATCTTTCTTTCCTCCCTCAGCCCTTAGCAACTACTGATCTTTTTACTGCTGTAGATTTGCCTTTTCTGGGATAATGTGTTGGAATCATATAGAATGTAGCCTTGTCAGATTGGCTTCTTTCAGGTAGTACATGCTTGAAAGTTCTTCCGTATGTGTTTTCATGGCTTATCAGCTCATTTCTTTCTATTGATGACTAATATTCCATTGCCTGGATGTTTATTTTACCTATCTAAATATATCTTTTTGTGCATAGCTAGATGTGACTTATTGTACACAGGAAATGTCAAAAATTAATTTTGCTATCTGAGGTTGACAGAAAAAAAAGTACAACCTAAAAGTTGAGAATTGTATTTTATTTGGCAGACCAAAACGAGGACTTAGGCCTAGAACACAGCCTCTCAAACTCTCATTATTCTATGTATCAGTTCAGTTCAGTCATTCAGTCACGTCCGACTCTTTGCAACCCCATGGACTGCAGCACACCAGGGTTTCCTGTCCATCACCAACTCCTGGAACTTACTCAAACTCATGTCCATCGAGTCAGTGATGCCATCCAACTATCGCATCCTCTGTCATCCCATTCTCCTCCTGCCTTCAACCTTTCCCAGCATCAGGGTCTTTTCAAATGAGTTAGTTCTTTGTACCAGGTGTTGGAGTTTCAGCTTTAGCATCAGTCCTTCCAATGAATATTCAGGACTGATTTCCTTTAGGATGGACTGGTTGGATCTCCTTGCAGTCCAAGGGGCTCTCAAGAGTCTTCTCCAACACCACAGTTCAAAGCATCAATTCTTTGGTGCTCAGCTTTATTTATAGTCCAACTCTCATGATGGCTGGAAAAACCATAGCCTTGACTAGATGGACCTTTGTTGGCAAAGGTCTCTGCGTCTTAATATGCTGTCTAGTTTGGTCATAGCTTTTATTCCAAGGCACAAGCGTCTTTTAATTTCATGGCTGTAGTGCACCATTTGCAGTGACTTTGGAGCCCAAGAAAATAAAGTCTCTCACTGTTTCTATTATTTCCCCATCTATTTGCCATGAAGTGGGACCAGATGGGAAGATGCAAAGTCTGGACTCTAGGAAATCATTCCTTTGCTATATACTTAGCTATCTGGGGCCATTATCCTATATGTTTTCATCCTGAGTCTCCTCAGGGTGCATGGCTGGGGGCAGCCGCAGTGACTGCCTAATGGCAACCTCTGTGTTCTCATCCTAGTCTCCCTGCTCTCAAATTGAACAAGCTGCACAGTGCTTTTCTCTGCCTCTCAAACACATTCCAGTGTTTATTGCTTTTATCTGCTTGGGTGGTTTCCACTATTTTTTCAAAATTAAACTACAGATGATTTATTATATTATTTTAGTCTCAGGTGTACAACATAGTGATTCATAATTTGCAATATTTTGGCAAATTATACTGTTTACTATATAAAAATAAAGGCTATAGTTCCCTGTGCTGTACAATATATCCTTGTTTTTTTTTTTAATACATTGTAGTTTGTATCTCTTAATCCTCTACCCCTATATTGCCCCTCCCCACTTGGCTTAGTTCACTGGTAACCACTAGTTTGTTTTCTACATCTTTGAGTCTGTTTCTGTTTTTATTAAAATATTCATTCGTTTGTTTTACATTTAGATTCCACACAGAAATGATAACAGAATAGTTGTTTCTTTGCTTGGCTTATTTCACGAAGGTCCACCATTTAGGTTCATCCACAGTGTTTTAAATGGCAGTATTTTCATTCTTTTGTATGGCTGAGTAGTATTCCATTGTGTATACATGTATGTGTGGGTACGTGTGTGTGCGTGTGTGTGTGTTCAGTCACTCAGTTGTGTTGAACTCTTGTGACCCCCATGGACTGTATCCCACCAGACTCCTCTGTCCATGGAATTTTTCAGGCAAGAATATTGGAGTGGGTTGCTATTTCCTGCTCCAGGGAACCCCAGGGAATTTTCCTGACCCAGGGATTGAACCTGCATTTCTTACATCTCCTGCATCAGAAGGATGATTCTTTACCATTAAGCCACCTGGGAAGCATATGTGTGTGTGCCATTCATCTTTTTAGGAATACTTAGGTTGTTCTTCTATAATGGCTATTATAAATAGTGAGTTGTGAACATTGGGGGTGCATGCATTATTTTGAATTAGTGTTATTTTTCTAATATATTACTAAGAGTAGAATTACTGCATCATATGTTATTTCTGGGCTTTCTTGTGGCTCAGCGGTAAAGAATTTGCCTGCAATGAAGGAGACTCAGGAGACGTGGGTCCGATTCCTGGGTCTGGAAGATCCCCTGGAAGAGGGCATGGCAACTGACTCCAGGATTCTTGCTTGGAGAATCCCATGGACAGAGGAGCCTGGCAGGCTACAGTTCATAGGGTCTCACAGAGTCTGAGATGACTGATGTGACTTAGCACGCATGCATGCATGGTATTTCTCTTTTTATTTTTTTGAGGATATTCCATGCTGTTTTCCACAGTGGCTGCACGAATTTACATTCCCGCCAAGTTTACTAAGGATCCCTTTTCTCTACAGCCTTGATAACATTCGTTAGTTGTAGACTTTGATGATCACCCTGTTGACAGGTATGAAGGGATATCACATTGTGGTTTTGATTTGCAATCTCTGGTGATTAGAGATGTTGAGTATCTTTTCAAATTCCTGTTGGCCATCTGTATATCTTCTTTTGAAAAATGTCAGTTTGAGTTTTATTGCCATTTTAAAATTGTACTGTTGTTTTTTTTGTTGTTGTTGAGTTATATGAGACATTTAAATATTTTGGATAACAACCAAGCATTTTCTCCCATTTATTAGGTTATCTTTTCATTTTGTCAATTGTTTCTTTTGCTGTGCAAAAGTTTTTAAGTTGACTTAGGTCCCATTATATTTTTTTGCCTTTATTTCTTTTGTCTTAGAAGAAAGATCTTAAAAAAAATATCACTACGATTTATGTTAAAGACTGTTTTGTCTTGCTCTAGAAATTTTATGGATCAGGTCTTACATTTAGATCTTTTTTATTTTTTGTTTTGTGCTTGGAGAGAAACTTTTTTTCCCCATTTATTTTTATTAGTTGGAGGCTAATTACTTTACAATATTGTAGTGGTTTTTGCCATACATTGACATGAATCAGCCATGGGTTTACATGTGTTCCCCATCCCGATCCCCCCTCCCGCCTCCCTCTTTCCCCATTTATTTTTATTAGTTGGAGGCTAATTACTTTACAATATTGTAGTGGTTTTTGCCATACATTGACATGAATCAGCCATGGATTTACATTACATTTAGACCTTTAATCTTTTGGGTCTATTTTTATATACTGAGAAAATTTTTTCCTATTCTTTGAAATGCTCTGCTCATCTTCTCTTCTATTGAATCTTCTTCTCAAAATTCAAGCTATCTTTAAGGACAATCTTAGGTCATTGTTCCAAGAAATCGTTCCCAATTTTCTATCAAACCCACATTATTTCTTATTTTTAAAATAACAGGACTTTATGATTTCTTGGGCACTAGCCAGTGTGAAGCATGTGAAAGAATTCTTTTGGGATAGTTTTATTATTTTACTATATGGGTGGCAGAATCTGTTTTCCTAAATCTGGATTTCTAGCAATACTTGGTCAGGGATTGAACATATATTTGTTCAAGGTCACTGATAGAGGCCAAATGATCTGACTTCCAGATCAGTACTCTTACTGGGATTCAATACCACCTCTTATGGCCTCTTTGGGTACCATGTGAAAAATGGATACACAGGAAGGATAACCTGATCATTTCTTAGGTCATCTCCCAATGATGACATTCACTCTTGATGTTTTTCTATGAATGAATTTTGTCCCTTAATTTCCTCAGACCCCTCTTCATATCTTTGTTCCTCAAGCTGTAGATGAAAGGGTTCAACATGGGTGTCACTATTGTGTACATAACTGTGGCTACCCGGTCCTTCACCACTGAGTACATGGACAGTGGCCTAAAGTAGACATAGATGACACTCCCATAGAAGAAGACCACCACGGTGAGGTGGGAGCCACAGGTGGAGAAGGCCTTCCACTTCCCAGC